TCTCGTTCAACTGGAGTAGAACAACCTGCACACTTCGATAAAAATCATATAAATTTAGGTGCTCTGAGACTGACATATATGAGCGTCAATTTTGACATAGAATTCAGTCGACTTTTCGTCGAGTAACGAACTTTTCAGTCTGGAAGCACTCAATTTTACATGAAATATTTGTTTACGTCTTAAAGGATTATGTCAAAGCTGCACACCAAAAAATTCTGAATTTTACTGGCGATGTAAACATCCATGCATGCAAATATTCATACATGTAAACTTCCTTTTCACGTAAACTAGCAACTTGCAACAAATGTTGCAAACAAAAGTGGACAGTTGTATACAATATATGGGATATTGCATTACATGTCTCATAAATTTACACTATCTATAATCTAAAATTGTATGATATATGACGCTCCATTTATGTGCATCATAGTAACGGAAATTTACACTACTTTTTTTAGCTGTGTGGATTCCGTCACGCGGGCTAAAGGTGAAAAATAGAACAAATTTGAAGAGTAACACAAGAAAAGGGCCTACAAACCTTCACATGCCATTGAGATTTATGACGCTTATTGCACTAGTAGTGTGCGTACGCGTATACGTATACACCAATTTTAGAGCGCTTTGTGAGAAAGTATTATTGAAAATCCGTGGAAAATAATAGCAAACTGCTGTCAGACTCATTTTAGCAGGAGGAATCCATACATGTTGAGGTTAGTTATAGGAAAACATTGAGCAACTTCACACGGTGATTGTGTCTGTTAGTGTGCGTACTTTAAACGTCACTAATATCTATAGGAAGCTTCCCCTGATATTCAGATGACGAAATAATGCCATGGAGCAAAGTTTCCTTCTGTAAATTCATTATTTATGATACCCATATTATAGGGGCTTCTTCCCAAACACTTTGATCGCGCACGGGAGAGATCCCTACGATGTGTTTATTTGTTTATCTTTCAATTGTTGATTCCGATCGAGACGGATAGTAATGAAAAGCACCGATTACTTCGCTACTAATTTATTGTTGTTTTGTTTTGTATATTTTAATGGTACCGTGGGTAGGGTAGTTGTACATATAGATGACATTGCATAAACACACTTCTATGGTCACTAGAGGCCCAACGAGAACCTACTCAGGAATGGCCGTTCTGAGGCCAATTCATCGGATGATCACAAAATTATGATAAATAGTCTTCTAATATAAATTCATGAATTTTGATACCCATATTGCAGGGGTCTCTTCCCAAACACTTCTATGGCCACTAGAGGTCCTACAAGAACCTACTCCGGAATGGCCGTCCCGGGGACAATCCATCGGATGACCACAAAATTATGATAAACAGTCTCCTGCTGTAAATTCATGAATGTTGATACCCATATTGCAGGGGTTTCTTCCCAAACACTTCTATGGTCACTAGAGGCCCTACGGGAATCTACTCCAGAATGGCCGTCCCGGGGACAATCCATCGGATGACCACAAAATTATGATAAACAGTCTCCTGCTGTAAATTCATGAATTTTGATACCCATATTGCAAGGGTTTCTTCCCAAACACTTCTATGGCCACTAGAGGTCCTACAAGAACCTACTCCGGAATGGCCGTCCCGGGGACAATCCATCGGATGACCACAAAATTATGATAAACAGTCTCCTGCTGTAAATTCATGAATGTTGATACCCATATTGCAGGGGTTTCTTCCCAAACACTTCTATGGTCACTAGAGGCCCTACGGGAATCTACTCCAGAATGGCCGTCCCGGGGACAATCCATCGGATGACCACAAAATTATGATAAACAGTCTCCTGCTGTAAATTCATGAATTTTGATACCCATATTGCAAGGGTTTCTTCCCAAACACTTCTATGGCCACTAGAGGTCCTACAAGAACCTACTCCGGAATGGCCGTCCCGGGGACAATCCATCGGATGACCACAAAATTATGATAAACAGTCTCCTGCTGTAAATTCATGAATGTTGATACCCATATTGCAGGGGTTTCTTCCCAAACACTTCTATGGCCACTAGAGGCCCTACGGGAACCTACTCCGGAATGGCCGTCCCGGGGACAATCCATCAGAAGATCACAAAATTATGATAAACAGTCTCCTGTTTTAAATTCATGAATTTTGATACCCATATTGCAGGGGTTTCTTCCCAAACACTTCTATGGCCACTAGAGGCCCTACGGGAACCTGCTCCAGAATGGCCGTCCCGGGGACAATCCATCGGATGACCACAAAATTATGATAAACAGTCTCCTGCTGTAAATTCATGAATTTTGATACCCATATTGCAGGGGTTTCTTCTCAAACACTTCTATGGCCACTAGTGGCCCTACGGGAACCTGCGCCAGAACGGCCGTTCCGGGGAGAAACCTTAAACTGGTCCTCAAGTAAGCTGAAATTGTTTTTGAAGGAAATGATGATACTTTGATATCGATTCCTTCAAAATTCTAGCGAAAGTGCCAAGAAAATGCTTAGTTCTGGAACATTATACAGAAAATCCGGATTTCCGGGAACCAGACTATTCCGGATGGACATTGTTGGCAATGTTCAGAAAGAAGATAAGTTTCTGAATCCATTGGTGCCAAAAGATTCAGAATCGGTTAAAATTGGCCGCAGTAGCAAGCAGTTCAATTTTGTGGGTACCCGGGTACCCTTGTCGAGCTGTTTAAGGGTAAAAAATTTCACGACCTCCCCTTTCGAAGCCCCTTGCTGCAATTTGAAATCTTTCTTCACGAAAAGTTGTCACTCCATGAGTTATAAGATGTCACTGAATTCTGGTTTCCTGTCGTGAAAATAACTTCGTAATTTATTAACTTGAAATCTGAAAAGGTACCCGGGTACCCTGTCGATCACATAAGGGTTAAAGATGAGTGAGTACGCTCTCGGAGAGTGATCGTGTGAGTTCGGTCGATGTTTTATATACAGTGGTGCTTCGTTATCTCTTGCTCAGTCTTTGAGTAGATGGCTTACACTTCGGTTCGCGTGTTCTGATCACCACAATCACAAACAGTTCACTTATCACCAAATGAATGCTATTGGGATCTGCCTTCGGATGACGTATTGGGATCCCGCTTCGGATTCCCTATGTCCACGTATGTCCGGATGTCCTGAAAAACAATTTTTTTTGAAAAAATTATTTCACTGTGAATCACAAACACATTACAGTTCACATTTCCATCATTAAAAAAAATCACATTTTCAACGCGTATCAGGAATGCTGGAATCCAGATTTCTATGAAAATTTATCTTATCTCTTGACACGATCGACGTCTATCCAGCAAAATGTTCAGCTGCACCATCCGACAAACCGATTCTCACTCCCGGAACTGGCCATCGGAGGTAAAATAAAATGTTTCCCGACACGACCCGACCGAACTGACGTGCGAGATTTGTAAAATGGCTGTCAGCGTAATCAGCCGACGCGAAAAAAATCACAATAAAATTGCTAAGTTCCATCCGCCATTTGGTAGCCCGGCGCATGAAATTACTCTAGCGGTGCGGTCCGCCATTCATGCGGATCCCGGAGCGCCATTTGGTAGCCCGGCGGTTTAAATTACTCTAGCGGTGCGGTCCGCCCTTCGTCCGCATCCCGGACGAAGGGCGAACGATTAGTCTTCAAGGCGCCCAATGACGTCACTTTTTCGCCGGCAATTCGTGTGCAGTGGTGGTGGTGCACTCATAAAATAAATCACAAAACCAGTGGAAAACCCTAATAAAAAATACCATAAACGAACGATAACCCAAATCATTTGACTATTCGACAAATGGTTTGGATGATACCTGGAACACGTCGTTAAACAAATTAACCATAACATTTTATTTAGGGAATAGAAATACTCAGAGGGAGAGATGGGCGAAGAGAATGTTTTGAGCCAAATGAACTGTCATAATCTGAGCCAATCGAACATTCCAATTAGAATTTTGCTTATTCTTACTAGAATCAATTTGAGAGTATTGCAATCGAACAGAAATCCAATCACCTTTATGTTTTGTGTGCTTCTCAAATTCAACTAGTTTTTGGAATCAAAAACAATATTCTAACTCTATTGATTAATTGATCTTCGCCGGTTAACGAATGGCACCAAGAAATGTGCAAAATATTGCGATGCAATCAATTATTATTTTGCACCTAAATCGAATCAAAAATACAAGTCATTTGAAATGTTAGCTTCTAGCAAGGGGTGCAAGATAATTTAGGAACAAATCCCTGCTGCCGAATTATATTTTGCTTTCTCCACCTATCTCTCCCTCTGAGTATTTAGTGGAAAATATCCATGTGAATCTCACATAACTCTCATGTGATCGCATAATTGGAAATCGCACCACTAAATCACATGAACGTTATGTGTCCAATAAAATCTATATGATTTCTTATATAGAATTTCTCATGCTATGTGATATTCAGATAAAAATCATTATTTTTGTTTTTGGAAAAATACTATGTGCGTTCCTAATAGAAACTAAGTGAAACCTTTTTTCAGTGTGGTTTCAGTCTTTGCGCGTCTCCGAAATCTTCTCCAAGCAAGATCTCACGAACACTACACTAATAATATAATTTTACACACACTAACGCATACTGTCATGTGCACGGTAAGAATCAAACATCCATTTTTGAGTAAAAGTGAACCCATTGTCAATAAAAGTGGCACTACTAATTAATGAGTAATTTATTATACCAATTAAGTAGTAACTGTTAGCTACTGTTAGCAGAAACTCATTGTTGTTAAAATAATTCACTCATTAATGAGAAAAGCCAATTTAATTGAAAATGCGTTAACTTTTACTCATAAAAGAGTATTTCACTGTTACCGTGCCAGCGTAGGGTTTGTTTTCGTTTTGTTGTTTATTTTTACTTTAGAATGACAGTTCTTACAGCAAACAAAAAATTTCTCACAGCTAACAAAAAATTTCATCTCACTAACACACGCAACTCGCACCAATACGAACCCGGCTGGAGAGGACTATACTTCACTTTCTGACGTACAAACAAAATCGACACAAGTTCGGAAGTTTATTATAATATCATCAAGAGTTTCTGAAAATCAATAATTTATTTTATAATCAAAGTTCAATCAAAAGACATACGTGTGTTGAGTTGTTGAAGTCCTGGTGCATTGAAGCTGTAGTATTTTATTATTAAATGATTGAATTTTAATATTTTCGGCATTTCTTTCGGTTCATTAATATCTCCTGAGAACTTCTTGAAAATCCACCGCATTGGACCGAAAGTAGACAGTGATTGCTACACACCTTTGCAACAAACATTTCTTGAAGAAGAAAACGAATCGCTTTAGAACTTTCAGTGTCAAAAAAAAATGAGAAAAACGCGGCAAGCCGCAGAATTTTCGGAACTGAAGGTAAGTCGAAATTATTTAAAAAAATAAATAGGGTTTTGCACCGTTCGGGTTAACCTGTAGTCACTATATTTATAGTCTTGCGGATAGAATTTTGATCTATCGAAAAGCGGAACCAATTCCGAGACAAATTCATTATATTGTAGACCAACAAAATTGAGAAGGTACTATCAAGTTTTATAAAAAAAAAAGTTCTTCCCTCAATAACCGAACGCAAATTAATAGCATCATCTGATAGGGAAAACACTCTTCTCAATCCCAATGATGGTGTTGGTTTGCGTGGGCGAGTCTTGAGTCACGAGAAAAGGGTTTCTGAAGTTGTGTTTGCAAAAGCTGATGTCAAGAGCAAATTTTCATTATGTCGAAAGTAACATTTGCACCGATCCGAGAAAAATAAAGTTTTGTTTTGATGACCGAAAAGTTATTCCTATTTCCAATTGAACGCATATAATCTCATAGTGATAGCAATGCTGAACATATTAAGCAGGGTTTTAATCATACAAACAGTGATGGAAAAGTTCGCAAAAAATCACTATGACTCGCGAACTTTTCCCTTGGAGAACTTCGAGAAATATCGTGAACTTTTCCAACACTGCATACAAAGCAGATCACTGGCTTTCATGCTAAAAAATACTGGTTTGTGGGTTAAAAGTTATACGTCGTGTGGTGGCCCCTAATGTTGCTTAACTCAAAGTGTATTTACCATAATAATCAGGAGAATTATCAATCACGTCTCCTTACGTGCCCATTCAACATTTTAGGACCACCGAAATCATCTTAGCAACAAACAGTTTGATTTACAGGGCTGTTACAATATTTTCTAAATTTGATCCGCGAAATCCGCGATTTCTCAAAAGAAATCCGCGACTTCAAATACTAATCCGCGACAACAACAAAACTGTTTTCATTGCCTAAAAATACCATTTGTATACTACTACATGGCATTTCAAGCATATTGCATATAGCATATTAGATTTTGCCTGCTCTGAACTTAGTGTTCTTTGAAGTACCTTCACATTGATTTGAGAGCTTTCTATGCCCAAGGAAGTAGAGAAATTTGCCAACCTGAAAAATTAATAGACCGAACGGGAATCGAACTCAGTCGCCTCCAGCATGGCCTCGCTTTGTAGCTGCGCCTTTACCGACTGAGCTAAAGGAGTAGGGTCAGGTGGGGCAAGAGTGCCATATGCGGCAAAAGTGCCACCTGCTTGTATCGAAGCCTGAAATACATTTTTGATATTTCTTATTAATGGGATGCTATAAAAAGCCCTTCAGATATACTGCATCAAATTTGGTTATACATTATGATGTAAATATTATCAAAAAATCTAAAAAAACTTACACGTTGTCGAAAACTTCAAAATGTTATAAGAAATCGATGACATAAAATAAGCTTTTTCTCATCATTTTTCTAAGAAAATTTGATAATACGATGTAGATTTTATTGTACGGTAATACATTTTGCGACCCTCAATATATAAATACTTATTGTTGCATGTAGATCCTCAAAAAACGTATTTGAAATTCGTCTTCTCCACGGGGGCAAGAGCGCCATACTTGCCTGGGGCAAAAGAGCCATAGTAAACAAGACATATAACCTCAAAAAGTTGTCGCCTCAGAGTGAAGTTTCGAAGTGATGGTGCGTGTCTACAAGCGAAAATCGTTGCGTAAATCGTGGTCGGAACAGAATATGGTTGCGGCCATACGATCCGTGATTGATATGGGATTTCTGTGCGAAGAGCAGCAGTGGAACACGGTGTCCCTCGCAAAACGCTATCGAAATATGTGCTGCTGGCGTTGGAACCTGGATCGCAACATTTGGGGCGCTTCGAGCAAGTTTTTTCTGTGCAACAGGAACAGGAACTAGTTGAGCATGTTATCAAACTGGAAAGTCGGCTGTACGGAATAAGCTGCCACGATATGCGCAGTCTTGCTTTTCAGCTTACCGAAAGGAATGGAATAAGTCATCCATTCAACAGGGAAACTGGGTTTGCCGGAACCGATTGGCTACGTGCTTTCCGACGTCGTCACCCTGAACTAACGCTTAGAGTACCCGAAGCAACATCTGCTGCTCGTGCGCAAGGATTTAACCGGGTTGCTTAGGAATAATTTTTTGATCTCCTTGACCACGTTACAAGTTCCGGCAAGTTTGCACCCAGCAGAATCTACAACGTAGACGAAACCTCTGCTTTGACCGTAAGTTGTATAAATTAATGTATCATTTTTATCAGCAAATTAACAGGCATTCCGGTTTACAGGTTCAAACCAAGAATACAAAAGTTCTAGCGCCTCGGAGACGTCGACAAATGAACTGTAATTTTTATTACAACGAACAATAAAACGAGGGGCACGCAATAGCCTTCTTGACTGCGTTGGATTTAAAGTACAAGGTGTTTAACTATGTAATTAAGTAATTAAAAATGAAAATTAAGTATTTCACGTAATTAAATTTAATTTCGCGTAATCAAAGCAGTGCCAGCAAAGATGAATACTAAGATGAAACTGTCGGAAGAAAAACTTTCTATTTTAGTGTCTTCTTTCACGGTCCCTTTCATCCAATGAGAACCCCCCGTATTCAAGGTAATTTTGTGGTTTTGCTGCCCCCTCGGAAGAGATGAAATTTTGCGCTCATTTTTATCAAAACAATCAAACCAAAATCAGAGATGTCCCATTTTTTAATTACTCGATTAACAACTAATCGATTATTTTTTGTTCGCTGTGCTGCAATTTTTCCACCAATGAGAGTGCAGCACATGTTTGAAACGATCGGTGATGATCCTGTGGAGATGTTAATGCTTATATCGGCATGATCTAACCGATTATAAATAGTTTACTTTTCGGTTCGTTAATCGATTAAACGATTATTCGAATGAAAATCGGACATCACTAGATGAATGTGAAACGTCATTTCAAATAAAAGGCCGTTCATAAATAATGATACAATTTCAAAGGGACAGGGACTAATCACAAATTACGTCTCCATGGTAACTGAAATAAACACGAGTGTTCACCGGTTGGTGCCAGTGTAATTACTGTAATTAAAACACGTACTTCAATTTGATTACGTAAATAATGTAATTAAAAATTAATTTTCTGTAATTAATGTAATTAAAGTTACACAAATGTAATTAAAAACGTACCAAAATCCTTATTCTTGAAGTATTAAAAAAAATAAGAAAGCCCTTAACACATACTCGAATGAATTTATCTTCTTACACCCTGAAATACGCATATTAATGTTTTACTAGACTACAAACATGACCAATTCTGCGAATACTTATACTAAATTTCTTGGAGCACCATGCTAGAGTTGGAAACTGAAATAATCCACTCGCGACAATCGATTTCACTTTCGTTTTGTACGTTCAACATAATGTCGTATCTAGTGCACTGTATTCGTTGAATAATGCGCTTTAATGCAGAACTAGAATAAAATCGATTGTCACGAGTGGGTTATATCGGTTTACAACTCTAGCGACAATATATAGTGAAAAGGAAGTGATACTCATAATGAGGGCCGTGATTGCCATACAAATGAAATGGGAATCTCTTAGTTGTGACGACAAGTCTTCAAATTTTACATTTCCTTAAATTCAAGCAATTCCTCGAGCAAATTTCCTCCCGATCAAAAAATGTTCGAATTTTAAGCCATGCTCGCAGCACAGTTCGACAGATGATGATATTAGCTTGTGCCTGAATTAACAGATTCAATGGAAGATGTATATGCATTTGCATTAATTTTCTGATGTTACGCGTGAATTCTTCGATTATTTCAATATTTCTTTCAAACTTAATATTATTATACTAATAATAATTAACAGATTTAAGGCAGAGTTCATTAACAAAATTATAATCAGGTTTTGGTTGCATATAATTATTGTGTGCTTTTATTTGTATTATCGCCATCATATGATCACATCCGTATTCAGAATTGACGCGATAGCATTTATGAAATTCGCCTCCTCATTGTTCGTCTTTCCATGGGTCAACTAAACAATACTATGGGCAGAACTCCAAACCGATAGGAAACGATGAGTCCAATGTGCACAGGACACGAAATGATCGTTACCGATCAACTTGACACACTCAAGTTATCCGTGCTGGGAAGACAATTGCATACCAGCTGCGATTTTTTCCCGGAAGTAGCTCAGCGTGTGAATGTCCAAAGTATTCACCAGCTCCAGTGTCTTAATATGGTCATTACCGACGGAGTTTCGTAAAATAATGAAGTTTGATATGTCACACGAGGGGTTGCGGTTCTTATTGGGAGTTGGATATTTAACCGGGGGGGGGGGGGGGGGACAATTAAATGGGACTGTGGACTGTCTAAGACCATTATTAGCCGTGCAGAATGTTTGCATGAAGTTTGATATGTCGCACGAAGGATTTTGGTTCTTGTCGATGATTGGCCACTTCCCCGGGGGCACCGGAACATGTCTGGGAGGGCTAGTGTGACCATGAACTCTCAATAAGGCCATTACTGGCCAAGATTTGTAAAATCATGAAGTTTGATATGTCGCATGATGGGTTTTGGTCCTTGTTGAGAATTGGTCACTTCCCCGGGGCACCGGAACATTTTCGGGATGCCCAATGTGATTGTGAACCATCGAAATAGCTGCCACTGGTCCAATTACATCGTTTGAGAGAAAAAAAACATGATGTTCATCGTGTGTATACTTATTACAGAACAATAAAGCCGAATGCCGACCAAAAGCGACCCCAACGGGAACCGAAATAACTCCCCGCATAAACACAAACCATAATAGAAGGATATGCATTACCGTTTTAAACGATTTACTATGATTACACTACGTCAACCAGAATCATCCGAAAAACAATAACCGTCTCATGCCATAGATAGTTTTCATGATTCAGTATATAGTAACTGGCTAATGTACCATATGGGGAAAGGGCGGTTAAGTATAGTTACTATACGAAAACGACGATTTTCAGGAACAAGTTTTTGGCAAAATAGCATGGGGAATGGTTTAATTATCATCCAT